AGTAGAGAATCTGTTTATTAATACAGCCCTACCTGGGTTCACAGTAGGAAATAAATAGCTCTACATCCACCAACCCTTTCTTCATTTTACACTGAACTGTCTATGCAAGTAAAGCAGCTGAGGTCATTCTGTGAGTGGCGGTGATGTGCTGGAGTCCCTTTGCAGGTTCAATAAATTCTTTTCCGCACATCCGACTGAAGCAAACTATACACGGGAACGCCTCGGGATTCAGTGTTGTGAGTGACATTTCCACGTGGCAGAGAAGCAGCAGCTGGAGTTTCAGTTTGTGATAGAATAACTAATAAGTTAGAGCCAACCTAAACATGTATATTCTTCCGGCAGGACCATATAAACTATTTTATTTTACAATCATCTTTTGACCAGTCCGCAGCTTTACAGTTCAGAGATTGCTTGACTTGAGCATCTAACAGTGTCTTAAGGACAGTATCACTACATGTTTAATACACAAATACCCCATTATTGTCCCTTTTCTATGTATCTGTATGTGTAGAGCGGATGCAGGGAGGGGGGCATGCCCCTGCTTCTAAAATTTTAGTGATGTACACACCAACAAATCAATCATTGTCATCTAATTATATCAATTATAACATTCGGAGCTTTGTAAAACAGCTGTTGAACAATGTTTAAACTCTTGTGCAGAGCCACATGTGAGGCCACAGGGTTGACCACAAGCTACAAAATGTATTTATATGAGAAATGAGACATTTAGGGAATTCTCATTAACCTAATCATTTTAAACTTGAAAAATCTGGTTGTTGTCCATGTGATGTGTCATAAGGATAAATGAGTAGGAGTGACGTTGTTTTATGTATTAGCTTTTGTAGTGTCTTCCTGCGTCCTTTAGGACATCGTGAAATGAGCGGAAGTCACAGTGTTAAAGAAGGCCTGCTCAATCCACCACATCATGAAACATCAGTCACAGTAGAAATACAGATGAACCCCCCCCCCAGGATAAGTTAGACAAACGAAACACACACGCACATACACACAACCGTCCCAGCACTTTATCCATGAAGCATTAAGTGAATCACACCATGGTGATAATCAACACCGTCTCCTCCAGTCTAGTCGTTTTCGATCAGTCAAAAAAGACGTCTTCATTTCCCTGCTGCTCCTCGGTGTTGGTCAGTCGGTTTTGATGGCCAGCGTTGTGTGATTGTGGAGAGTTGACGTAGTAGGAAGAGCTGTTGGTGGGGATGTTTCTGCGTGAAAGAAGTAGAGCTAGAAGAAAAGAGAGGAGATTGAGTATCTGGTTCAATGTAAAGGTGTCCTTGCATACATCTGAGATCCACGCAGCTCACCGACCTTACAGCCAACTGCCAGCAGTGTGTGCAAAACCACTATGGTCACTACTGTAGCCACCGCCGTCACCTTGGTGTCATCACGGACAACGGGCCAGAAGGTGAGGACCAGGACTGAGCCTGAGATTGCCATGGCGATTAGGATCAGCGTCCAGTGCAGCCAGTCATATGGTATTATCCACAAAATCTGAAGGTGACAGGGTGAACTTTTATTCAGCTAATTATTGTTTCTGCTTTGGTTTTTGTTGAAATTTACCAAAGTTGGACCTTTTCTTTTGGCAGTGTGCTGGGCCACAGCTGCCAATCAAAACCTTAAATTAATTATTCAGACAGAACATGTTACTCTTCAAAAATACTCAAAACATTGGGCAGAACAAACTTCTGCACTTATTCAATATGAAGAACCAAAGGTGAGTTTTGACATTACGGTAAGTTACATAGAGAATGACATCAGAGGTTTCCGAAAATGTGAGCTATATTATACATTAGGGATGCACCGATAC